TTTGAAAGGTCTGCGAATATTTCTGCTGCGTTCACAAAAGAAACGATGGGCCTTGCCTTTGGCATTTACTTAAACGAAACTGAAGCAATTCATGCATTTCAAACAACGTGGACATTCTTCAAAAACAGAAGCTGCAAAGGGTCTTTGCCCAGCTGCTCGTACATCACAGGCTACATCCACGCGTCGTCGTTGAACAAGAGTTCTGGATTCATGAGCGTCCGCAGCAAGTCATACTTCCTGATAAGCTGCCAGGCCTGCTCAGTCTCATTGGGCATGACATGCATCGGGCAATAGTCGTAGGCGAAGCAAAAGTGGTCTCTCTCAAGGTTGCCAGATGCACTACAGCCGCAAGTCTCCGGGCAAAACCATGCCAGGGGCAAGTAGCGTGAGCTACCTCTGCACACCAAGGAGCCCATCAAATCTTGAGGCTGTGTGGCTATAACTGGACAGCCAACTGCCTTTGCCCAGTCACGAAATTCAAGATAGATCAGTCTTGTGGCGAAATAGTCAGAGCCGTGGTAGTGGTCAACCATGGGGAAATAGTTGTCCCAGAAATGGTGCCAAGAAGGTCCAGGGAGTTGGTCCTTGCAGCCGGTCGTGAAATTGGGCGGCTTTCCGAAAAGGGGACTGAATCCGTACATGCTGAAGCCATAGGACTCTTGAATGCATTGTCTTGTGCAGCCAAACCAAGGAGTCTTCAGCAGTGGAGATGACAGTGGCTGAGTGCACCCGCAATGTCTGGGGCAAGAGTTGCGAAGCCAAATTGCTTCCATCGTGAACAACCACTCAGGGGCTTCTTCACTGCAGAAATAGGCCAGCTCTTCGCAGGTCTTTGCTCCTGGCTTGCCAACCCGCATGCCCACACCCTGCAAAACTGCAGTGAAGTCATTGTCACGGTCATTCTCACGGCAAACGTAGAACTCTTTCTTGAAATCTGGGTATACCTGATTTCTGCGAGCGGCCAGCAATCCAAATGACCCTCCCTCCCAGATTGAATACTCCACTCTCCCATTCCTTCTGGCTTCGCCAGAAAGAATTTCGTGAACTGCGGTCTCAGCATGTATTACATCTGCAGAGGGTGGTGCCCCTGTGCTCACAGAGAGTGCGGTGTACATCTGGCCAGACGTCCCAGCGATGACAAAATCAATGTCCCCTCCACACATCTCTCTCTTCACAGAGAGCATTGTCTCTCTGAGGGGCACAAGCACTGTCATCCAGGGGACCAAAAGCGCAGCCGCGAGCATACAAGCAAGGATAACATTTTCCACACTCGGCCAGCGTCGGCTCCTCCTCACTTGCATTGGCGGCAGCCTCTTGATCTTCTGCTGCATGTTGGTGGGCACCAGAGCCCGACATATAAACTCATCAATGTGGAGAACGGCCTTGTCAAGACCAACAACGACCCAAGATGAGGAACCTAAGATGTACCCAAGAGGAGGGTCCTAAAACAAAGAAAAAAAGAACAAACATTGAAAACGAGGAGAAACGCATGGGTCGGAGCGACAAGATGGGGACCGAGAAAACGGTGACACGGAAGACACGGTGCGAGTCAGGTGTGAGAAACAGATTCCAAAAGTTTCCATCGGCGATCAACTTTTTCACCCAAGAGATTGCTTCGAGGTCTATCCTATCGGAGAAACAGATGGTCGATGAATGGTCATCAAATCCGATAGGGCGCCAATCATCAGAACCTGTGTTTTGCTGTTTTCAGGGCGCCTCTAGGGCAACCGCATTCAACATGAGCTCCGTAATGGATGTTGTGTTGCCCAGCCAGATGGTGCCTGAGATCAGCAGGGCACCCGCTACCACTGCACGCCCCACACACACAAGTGTCATGATCGCGATTCGCTGCCACGACAAGCCTGAGCTGCGTGCGTAATCGAAGCGGGCAGAAGCTCAAGGGATTTTCCAAGAAAAGTGTCGGGACAACAAATATGTGTTTCAGGCTACAGGACTCAAAAACGATTTCACGCGGACGGGTTCGCCTCTCTCTCTCTCTCTCTCGCGTTATCTTCCTGATGGCTTGTCCTGGAGATACACACAACTTCATTGGATTCAGAACATGTGCCGGTAACGTGCTCACCATTGCTCACCTGCTCGTACTTCAGAAAAAAACCGGGAGAGTTGATGTCATCTCACCTAGAAGCCTTTCAACGCCGAGGTGGATGCCCCAGCGCTCAGCAACATGCCTCTCAGAACATACCAGACGCTCCGGAGCTCGCTAAAGATGCAAATGTTCCAAAGAAGGATGCAAAGAAATGCCAGCAACATGCCAGGCCTCAGAAATGCAGGCAAAACCCCCAAGAACTTCTTAGTCTTGAATTTTCTGCAGCAAACGGCATCTACATATATTTCTTGCCCGGGAAACAGGTCAAAACGGCTCGCACTTGGTTTGACTTGGCGAGCCCAGCAAGTGGCTGTAGTGACATATCCGGCCCCGGACCGATCCAGGATGTGCCGAGAGACTGGAAATTGGGCAGCTCAAAGGACAACTTCTCAAGTCCTAAGTAGTTGTTGATCTCCACCAGCTGAGCCACTTGAGCTGTCGAGAAGATCAAGGCACCGTCCTCATCGCACACGATCGAAGCCAAGTTCCTGTGGTCCAGGCCCACGAAAGCGAGATCGTGCGCGTATCTGTGACGCCATGTGCTTGCATCCGTCACGGAAAGGCCCTCTCCCAAGAAGTCTGGAGACATGATGATGACTGTGAACAAGACCTGCATGGTGGCATTCATGATCATCAGGAAGGCCCCGAAGATGCTCTCCAGGAAATTGTGCTTCGAGAGCACCAAAGGAATGCTCCAAGCACTCTCTTGGTCAAAGCAAATCATGTCCTGAAGAGCACCAAAGGATATATATATATATATAGTATGTCTATGTATGTCTACTATAACGCGGCTTTTAACATAGGTTACCAGACCTCCCCGTCCTGATCCCTCCTGCCTCCATATCCGCGTCCACCTCCTCATCTGCATCTCCAGAATCTGCTGCATCTGCACCTGCACCGCCTGCGCTGTCATCTTGCACCATTTTGTTGGGCCAAAGGTCATCCATAACCACTTGGATGTTGTCTTCGCTCCCGTCACCACCCTGCTGCAGGCATCCTGACGGGAGTTCGACGGAGTTTGATTCACAAAGCTAGTAGTGGCAACAGACAAGAAGTCTAAAGCCAAAAAGCATCTTCTTTGCGCATGTTGCGACAGGTCTGAAGTCCAAACAAAAATAGAGCTTGCTGTCTTACTTGATTCGAGCGTCGCAGCTGTTGAAGCTCCTTCTTCACCTGGTCCTTCCACTCTATGACCTCGCGCCTGAGCTTTGCCACTTCATTGTCCACGTAGTCTGTGGGCACCAAGAGATTCTGCATGGCAGCACAGCGATGAACGCGTTCGCTTGGAGCTTGAACAACCAGAACAGGTCAGGAGAGAAAAAGGGGACCGGGGAATGCGGGCACAATGAAGAGCGACTGAATCACCTTCCTACGAACGAATCAAATACGAGGTGCACAGATACGAGGTGCACATGGAAGCTTTCAATCAAGCAAGACATGGGTGGGAGATGGTGTGGGAAGAGAGGCGTATCGTAAGCGCATTCATGCAGTGTGATTGAAAGGAAACCTCGGCGCAAAAGAAAAAATGGCTGCAGCGAATGGCCGGGAGTTAAGTGTCCAACATGGGGATGTTGGCAACACAAATTCTGCTACCGGCCAATGGCGAAAGGGAGAGGCAAGGCTTCACATCGATGTGTAGGGGCAACATGAAGCTGACCGATGCGCCAAATGAAGGGCTAACACGAACACCCACGAACACCTGCAACTCAGCTAGGGCACCCGCCCGCTATAGTATTTTACTAAGGCTAGGTACTCAGCGACTCCCTTTAGTAGTATTAGTAACAAGTGCCACGCTAGTAGTAACAGGTGCCTTACTAGTAGTAACAAAAAGCTATTAATTTAATTTTAATTTAATTCTAATAGCTTTGTTGTTACTAGTAGTAAGGCACTTGTTACTACTAGCGACTCCCTTTCCAGTTTCTCTTCGGCCGCTGGGGGGAGCATCACTCCTCCTCGCCGCTTCGCCCCAAAAACAGCGAGTGATGCGAAGGAGTGATGCGGCTGAACTCGCTCATCCGTGCGATAGAAAGAACCAAATGGATGGTGGGCGGAGAAGGAGAAGATCATGCCTTCTTTTTTCATCTGGACAGAAAGAGCCCGAAGTTGGAAGATCGAGGTCTACCCATACCACCGGTCATCGCTGTTCCGGGTCGGTTAGACCTCGTCACGGCGTCTGGAGCGGGTTCCACAACCATGGCGCTGTTGCCGCTGTTGCCGCTGTTGCTTTTAATCTTTTGTGTTTGAGCTACTAGGGGTGGCCTGTAGAAGAGTCGAGTCTATGTTGGAAGGTATCCAAAGGTCAAACATGCAAACGTAGAAATGATGCGTGTGACAGCAAGGTAAATCTATATCAAACATACAAAAATACGATCGGCTGGCCTTTGGGTTCCTTCGCCGATCTCTATGCTGAAAAAAGAGTCCCTCAGCGTCCTTTTACCGACCTCGAGGGGAAAACTTGTTCGGTCACTCAAAGATCCAACAGGCCCAGCATCGCAAAGATCAAGTGCGCCCAGGAGGGGAGGTAGAACCTGTAGAACCTTTATGGGGTAGAACCAACCCTTGTACCGACTCAAACAGCTTTAAGAACAAACACTTTTAAAGGTTCCTCTCATTGAAAAGGCCGCCGTTTTCGTCTTAGGGTGCCCTCTTCTGACTGGTATTAAGCAGGGAATGAGGAAATGGGCGATCAATCAAGAATCCGTTGGATTGATTTCCTCATTCTTTACGCACCGCACCAGTCAGTCTGTTTTTGGTGCAGAAATGTGCAGAAGAACCTGTGCAAAATCCATCAACAGCTCCGATCAGCGGGTCAAAGTTTCACTCTTCATCCGTGCCGCTGCTCGTCCCATTCCCAGGATCACACGCAACGTGCCCTTCGAACCCTTCGCCTCTCCTCAAGATCATCCAAGACTAAACTCTTCATGCTGCCAGGAGTTCCCTTAGCTTCGAAGCGATCTGATGCAATACGCAAACAGTGTGTATCTTGAAATTGAGACTCAACAAAATACCTCCGGGCAAGGCAAAACCACGGCAACTACACCCACACATTACGTACTCCTTTTCCTAAGTCGGTTGGAGGGCTGCTCTGAAAACGTCGGAAACCTGGCTTGGCAGCCGAGTACCTGGCGCTTGCGCCCGCCGTGTCATGCCGAGCCGTGTCATGCAGTCGGCGGATGGATGAAAATCGCTGATGGCAGGGATGGAGTGACATCCCCGGCCCTGTCGGGGGGGGGAACTCATGTGATGTTTATTGGCATAGATCCCAGAGATAGAAACAAATACCAAGTAGTTCTAAAAGCACAGGCAGCGGGGACACACTTCAGTCAGTTGGTGTACCCAGTCATTGAAAAGTGTATAAGCAGCCCTATAGCTTTCAGCTATCTGAGGAAAAACAGTTGTCCTTTTAAATGTTAGACTAAGCATCATCGGAAAGCATGAAAAAATTGATGCATTGAAACATGGTGGACATCTTGGATGTCTTTATGTTGCTCCAGGAATCAAGTGGATGATGGTGGTTCAAACTAACAACTGTGACTTTGCAAATGGTTTTGGAGGGTCTAGGACCCAAATGTGCATCAAAACCTCTGCAGCATCCTTGTACATCCAGAAATGAGGTCTCTGTCGTTTTCTTTTTTTCTCTCTCTCACACATACACACACTCAAACACCCGTTGTATGGTGAGCCACCCGTTTGTATGGTCACGACGTGTGGTCTGCGCCGCCCACTTGGGCCCGCCACAGGTGCAGGTGTGGGATGCAAGAAGGGGCTACCTGCGGTGACATCGAGCTGCACATGTCCCCGGTGTAGACATGCACTGGTCCCTGCCCGACACCCGTTTTCTTTGAAGACAACCCAGGTGAGATTTTCTGTTGGAGTTTGACTGCAGTAGTTGCGGAACAGGGGGCACGGCAGCGGACGGTGTCGTGAATGAGTCCGGCAGCCTCGTCTTCGTCGCCTTTTCGAGGGGTGTTTTACTGTCTAAGACTGTCCTTGCGAGGGCACCAGCCACAGGCTCTGGTCTACACTTTTCCACACACTTGACCTGTCTGGGTTCGGACCTGTCTTGAGCTTTGCAGCGTGCAACGAAGAAACACACCTACTCCGCAGCTCCGAACGGAAGGGACCGTGGGAAACAAAGGGGTACGTCTACGTTAACCGAAACGGAGGGGGCGGCCGCCCCAACGGGAACCAAGGCTGGACTCGCTTGGTCGAACCGGCCGACCGCGAAGCTGACCGAAGCTGAGGCTGAGGTGAGATCTCCCAAATCTCTTTTAGGGGTGAGGTCACAGTTCGCCAAAAACACCAGCTGGGTGGCAGTATGGGGCAGTACTTCTAAGTGCACATAGAAATAATCCCGAGTACCTATTAATAAACACTCCCCAATTAAAAAAGCACCATGTCCGAACCCCTAAATTCGGTTTATATTTGGTTTTAAATTGCCGCCCTTTCAAGCCGCTACTAAACTACCAACATGGTCGATTTTGGGGGTAGTTTTTTTTTATTAGGTTCCCCAAAAACAACCGTAACTGCCCACCTCTGTCCGCCCTGTCTATCCACCATGACACGCCGCGCTTACACCAGCAGGCTTTCCTTCCCCCAATGGCACGGACTCACGCAAACGCACTTGCCACCGAGGTCATGCAACACCGCATGGCACAGCGACATCACCTTTCGAAAGCTTTAGCTGTTAGTCTACTGAAGAATAACTATTCTAATGAAGGTTTTTGTAGGGGAAAAGGAAGACCCTTCGATCTGGAGCTTTTTTGCATTTTTGATACGAGTTTAATAAAGGATTTTATATAAAACTTTACGGATTTACTTTTTGGTTTTGAAGCTCTTCCCAGGTGACCCTATTTTGGACCCCCCCGATTTCAGGGACCCCCTATTAGAAAAAATGCGACCGAGGTTTTTTTAATAGGGGGGGGGGGCGTGTTTATTATTAGGAGGACGGGATTACAATTTCTCTTTATTTCTCTTTCCCTGGGCCCGGCTGTCTCTTGGGGTTTGGGAGGCCGTAGACCCGGTAGGTAACCCTTCCAGTTTCACAGTTGTAGCTACGTGAATTCCGCAAGCTACCCCCAACCTCACCCCACACCCACACACACTGTCAATGTGCGCCATCCTTTTCCTCTTTGATGGCCTTGTTTGAACCAGGATTGATCTGTACGGAGAAGGATATATACTGTAATATTTAATATCATGTACAGTAAATCCAAAACTTGAGTGTATCATGAAGGCTGTGATGCTTACCGGGCAGGTTTTAATGCTCAGAAGTCACTGGCTCCGTTCGCTGAAGAAAGGATCAATCCTGGTCGTTGAAGATGCAACGAGAGGAGCTCTGAGAACCGCTCCACTCCTGCACTGGCTCTTCCTTTGGACGCGTTCGAGTAAGGAAGGAAGGTGAGAACTGGCACGGGTCCGGCAAATGAGCGTTTTCCCTCTGACCGGTGTGACCGGTGTGACCGGTGTGACCTCATCAACATCTTCATCGCTTGGCATCCGTTCTCACTGCTCACGTTTGTTGATCAAGTGAAGTGACACGTTTTTAATCACTTCTCTCTATTCTCGCAAGCTGGACGCCTTCAGCATCTGCCCCGAACGCCCCGAACTCTTTCCGTCTGAAAATTATGGGTCTTTCGAGGTTTCCACTTCAATGTGCAGGTTTCTAGTGGTTATCGTGAGAACAACACCTTCGGGAAAGAGATGCAAGGAGGGATTCCCCAAACGCAAAAAAACAACCTAAAACGCCATAAATTAATGCAAAGTTCCATGAACATCCATGAACGTAATGTCCAAATCATCATGCGATCTTGACCTTTCGGGTTTTCCCTAAACACACAAAAATGTACCCTCGCGCTTGACTCGCCCTCGGCCGGCCCCAGATTTGGGAGATCGGGGGATTCTACCATGCGCCGGAGAACGTCCCCATCCACTTCAGCGGAGGTGTTCCCCGGTCGCAGCGCCGGTTCGGCCGCCGTTGGTTCGGCCGGCGGAAAAAAAAGCAGCAAGGCTCGCTGGGTCGCGAGGCAGCGGGGTCGCACGATGGAGATGAGGATCGGAGGATCTTCGGGCGCTACGCCAATTGCGCATGGTGTTCTGGTGTTGAAGCCAATCATGCAACGCCAAGACTTTGACGAACCTGTTTGGACTGGACTAGTGACACAACCATACACAACCAGGTCAACTCTTTCAGTCAATTGGTCGAAGGGCAGGCAGTCAATCCTTGATCCTTTTGACCACATCCACGGGATCGCCACTGATGATGTGTTGGGGCAGCCATTGGCCAGCACTGGTGTGGCCAGCTTTTCCGAGACAAGCCTGACACATGACGAGACAACGTTTGACATATGAGCTGAGCCGGAAGGATGCACTCAACATCTTCGGCAGAAAGACTCGTCAAAGCCTCAAAATCGATGGTTGGTTTAAAAGGTTCCCTGATGATGCAAAAGGAGCTTGATCAAACGAACAATAGCTGGAAGATGCTGGATGTATTGTTGCTGCTCGAAGAAGGACATGGGAATAGTCTATTCCAGACAGTCAATTTCACAAACTTCACACGCCATAACAAAGGACTAAGGCTGTGAACCCGGATCCATATCTACGACCTCTCTGCCCTGCTTTGGCTTCTGCCAAACACAAAAAAACATACATGAACAATTCTCACGTGCACGTGCCAACGTCCAGGTGGCACACCTTCCTGACAACGGCAGCTCGCTGGCAGCGGGAATAAAACACTCCTGACTCCTGTTTTCAATAAGTGGAATATGATAAGTGGAAGATCGATGAACAAGTTTGAAACCACAAAAAACATCATTTCAAGTTTCAAGCAAGCATGACAAGTTTCCAATCCTATGCTGGCCTCTTTGTTCGCAGTTCCAAACGAAAAGCAAAGCAATCAATGTCACAGCCTTCGGGCCAACTTCGCTGCCATCACAGCCGGTGCAAGGTGGACTCCGACTCCATCCTTCAATGAAAGTCCTCCACTGGGATTTATTCTTTGCCAAAAAAACACAACGACTTCATCAAAGCACTTCTGTGCCAAATGGTGAAGAAGCGCCACGTGACTTGTGTTTGGTTGAGGCAGATTTCAGAGAACTGCGTGCTACCCATAGTTCTTCGAGTTGGGCCTTGCCAGCACTTGCACCATGTTGCACCTCTGCTTTCAAAACTAGCACAACTCTGCACGACTGGCCCAAGCAGCTTGGCCAAGGGCAAATACTCCTTGACCCCAAACGAGAACCCAAGAGGAGTCCTTCCACCAGCCGGATCGAGGCCGGTAGGGTCTCATGGCCCGCCCTCTTAGGCCACACGGGTCTGCGAGAGCTTGTTCAGCAACCTCAACCGTGTAGACCTGGGACCCAGTCGTCGTCCGAGCCTGTGGTCTGGCTTCCCCACCCCAAACGAGCCCGTGTTGGCTTTGAACACCCTTCCCATGCCTTATGATCCTTATGTCCATTCCTTATGTCGACCTGTTGAAGCATTAATTAAAGCAACCTAAGCCACGAGGTCGACGCCATCGCAACGTCCCAAGTTCGGACGCGGGACCGTGTTCGATCGGTTCCGGGTGGGTTCGCTCCGCTCCCACGACCCGGGGACCAACGTTCCGGTGGGTTCAGAGGGACGTCGGGAGGAGAGAGTGAGGACTAGCTGCCTAGCTCCTATCGGCAGGTCAATGCCAAATGTGATTCAACTTCAACTTCCACATCTGACTTGCCCATGAAGTAAGACGACCAGACTTCCACATCTGGATGTGATCTGACTGCCATCTGAGACCAGACTCAATCCGAATAAGTCCGGCTGGTGGGGGGATGTTCGCCGCTGTTCCGGACGCCGGACGGGAAAAAAAAGGTGCTTCTGTGAGGTCGTGGGGTCGTCCGGCCTCGTGGGGTCGTCTTCAGCTGGCTCTTCCAACTCGGCCATCAACTGCTTCACTGTCTTGAACCTGAGGGAGAGCGTTTCTACAGAGCCTGACGATGCGTTGCGACAGAGTTCGGGCGTGAAACGAACACGTTTTGGGGCGTCTTTGGGAAAGAACACGTGAAACGGGCGATGTGTTCTTTTTGATTTTGCGGGGGATGTGACTGGATGTATGGTCGGCCTGAACAAGCCATTGATCCCCATCAAAATCATCAAGGCCAACCTGACACAAAAGTCGGGTCCCTAGAACAAAATCCACCTACTAAAGTACATGTTCGAGACATAACTTGAAGGGTTGGCACTATAGTGTTCCCCTCTCTTACTAGAATCGGCACTAATAGCACTGGGCACTATAGGTCTTCTTCTGTTCTCTTCATGTCGATGAAGTGGCACGGGCAAATGAGCAACTTGCATTTCAATAGTGAGCTCCCCTAAGCCAATTGGGTTTTGGAATGCTTTAGTCTATCTTTGCTGTCTCAGTAGCTTGCAAGGCTGAGTTTGCAACTTTATCAGGAATGAGTTGGGGGTGATTGGGGAGTGCCGCGGAATCATTGCCAACAGGGTGTAGAATCATTCATATTTTGCTGCTCTGAACAACCTGTGGAAATCACACCAATAACTAAAGTTCTCTGCGTGTGTATAAATTGAATTTGAATGCTTTGCGATGTACCAGTTTACAATATTCTAGGATACATAGGGCGCATAGTAAAATTACGTATGAACTACTTTTCCCAAACCGAAAATGCCAAAGCACAACCTCTCAATATCTGCCACATGTCTCCACTTCTCCACTGATGCCTCACAACGACTGCCCAGGCACATCCGTTTCTGGGTCAACTTTCGACCAGGTTGC